TCGACGTGCGTGGCACGTCATTCCAGCGCAAGAGGTTAAATATTTTTTCCAAAAAACTCATCTAACATTTTCTTGTCGTTTTTCTCATCTTGATCCTATAATTTTACAAAATTTCAAGAAATTAAGAAATAATTTCTGGTGTCCTCGATAGGTCAATCTCAATATATTCTATTTCTTAAATAGACTACGAGAGAAAATTGCAAAAACTCACCTAACATTTTCTCGTCATTTTTTTTATCTAGATCGTATAATTTTATAAAATTTCAGGAAATAATTTCTGATGTTCTCGATAGGTCAATCTCAGTATATTCTATTTCTTAAATAGACTACGAGAAGAAATTCCAAAAAACTCACCTAACACTTTCCCTTCGTTTTTTTCATCTAGATCATATAATTTTATAAAATTTCAGGAAATAATTTCTGATGTCCTCGATAGGTCAATCTCAATATATTCTATTTCTTTAATAGACTACGAGAGGAAATTCCAAAAAACTCACCTAACATTTTCCCTTCGTTTTTTTCATCTAGATCCTATAATTTTATAAAATTTCAAGAAATAATTTCTGATGTCCTCGATAGGTCTCAATATATTCTATTTCTTTAATAGGCTACAAGAGGAAATTCCAAAAAACTCACCTAACATTTTCCCTTCGTTTTTTCCCATCTGGATCCTATAATTTTATAAAATTTATAGGTCAGTCTCTTGGCTCATTGTTGCCATTTTATAACAGCCACCTGTTCGCAATTGTCAATTCCACGAAACGAGTGATAGCAACGAATTCCGAAATTCGTAAATTCACAATAATCAATGTAAAGCTTCCTGGAAACTCGTATGGATTACATATTGAAAATGACATTCCAGTGTTCATTATGCAGAACTCTAGCTTTCGCCGAGCTACGCACGCGCGCGTATCGCGCGTAATACTTGTTCTCGTGTTGCGTGGAACGCGTATCGGGAACGATATTTGCCGATCGCGTGGGTGTATGCTCACGCATCGTTGTGCAGGTGTCGTAGGTTCACTCGGATAACACGAGTTACCTTTTCCAGATATGTACCTCTCCGAGCAACTCGTGGAACTGGAAACGGTGTATCGATTCCGCTGACTGTACTTTGGTTACACGCTTTAGCGGTGTACACGCGAAAAAGAGGACAACTCGACGTGAAACTTCGAGCGACGCAGACCGGAGCCTTCGCGCTCCTTTCTCGCGTATAAAAATTATTCGCGATGTGAAAATCGCGTAGGAGATTGACGATTTTTCGGTTGTTGAAAATCAGACTCGCTCTCTAACTGAATTCTAACGTGTTTTCGATCGGAACGTGCACGCTTCGCTTTCGAAACGAAATGTCGACGTTAATTTGTCAGGAAACAGCTGTTAATATTTATTGTCGAGCAGTTTATTTGTTTCGTTGATACGTAACAATGGGCAGATTTCATTTTATTTCTCGAGAAGCTTAAATGCGAATTTCGAGAGTTATAGAAGAGACACTTAAAAGATAAATAGATGGACATTAATGTACTAAAGTGTAAAATGCATAGGTATTTACGAGAGGCATTTTTTTTTTTTCACTCACTTGCCAACACTCACCTTGACACACATTTCTTGCAGTTGCTCATGGAAATTGCACCTGAAATGCGACTGTGATACGAAAGTTTGTTATAATCCTATAAATGATTGTACTGACTATAGGTGGACCCTGAGAGAGATATATTTATGAATTTGTAAATTTCCCACAAATACATGAATGTTAACACGATTATCCTACAAAAAGATAAATAATACAGCACTTGCTATGTCCAAGTTCATCGCTATTGTAGTTTGGATTGTAGTTAAATACCTGAATAATGCAAATCATCGATTTTTAATTTTTCAGACAAGCCTTACAAACCTACAATAATATATTTTTAAATCCGAATGATTTTTCGTAAAAGTTCTTTGTTGTGTTACGAACTTCCTCCTATTTCTTGCATTTCAACACCAATGGTATTCAAAATGATATTCGTAATTTTTCAAACAAATTTTATAGACTTACAATGATTTATTTTTAGAGATTTGAATAATTTTCTATGAAACACATGAATAAAAATTCACGTTCTTTATCGTTTCTTGTTTCTTGCACTCTGATTTAACATTTTGTAGATTTTGCAAGCTTTTGCAAGCTTCATATTTCAGTTTTCGATAGTTCTGATATTGAAAAAATGAAATTTTATAAACTTACAATATTTTTAGGAATTTAAATAATTTTCCATGAAACACATGAATAAAAGTTCACGTTCCTTATCGGTTCTTGTTTCTTGCACTCTGATTCAACATTTTGTAAGTTTTGCAAGCTTTTGCAAGCTTCATATTTCAGTTTTCGATAGTTCTGATATTGAAAAAATGAAATTTTATAAACTTACAATATTTTTAGGAATTTAAATAATTTTCCATGAAACACATGAATAAAAGTTCACGTTCCTTATCGGTTCTTGTTTCTTGCACTCTGATTCAAGATTTTGTAAGTTTTGCAAGCTTTTGCAAGCTTCATATTCCAGTTTTTGATAGTTCTGATATTGAAAAAATGAAATTTTATAAACTTACAATATTTTTAGATACATTTGTAGAAATTTAAATAATTTTCCATGAAACACGTGAATAAAAGTTCACGTTCCTTATCGGTTCTCGTTTCTTGCGTTCTGATTTAAGTTTCGCATACTTTACAAGCTTCATATTCCAATCTTCGATGGTTCTGGCATCGAAAAATGGAAATTTAAAGGCGTTAGAATCCGAAACCAGCGACTTTCCAGCAGAAGGAAACGCTGAAAAATATAATTAAAATATCGTCGCTTATCGTTATTCCGTGGGGCCGTGGAACCTTGAACGTGAAAGCCCGCCCACTCGTATCCAGGCCGGAAAGCAGGAAGTGAAAAAAAAAAAAAATCAGTTTTATCAGCGGTGCTCGTTTCCCCTCGTTACACTATCAGAAACGAGCTCGCCGGTATCGGGAGCGTTTCGCCTCTACGGTTACGCGGCGAAACGTTTCGCGTAAATTGCCAAAAGGGGTTGTTCGCGAAATCGCTCGGGGTAATTGCGCGGAATTGTTACGCGCACGTAACCGTTGAACCAGAATGAACGAGAACGAGCACGAGCACGAGCACGAGTGGCGTTTAACCGTTTCGAAGTTCAACACCGAAAACGATCCCGACGCACACTGATATTCGTTCTCTTGGCGTTGTTCTGCGATTCGTTGCGATTCAACCAGAGGATAGAAAGAGGCGGCGGGGAGAGAAAGAATCTCCACTGTCGGCGGTTATCGAAGTGAAACGAACGAACTTCCGGCCCCTTTTTCTTCCCTCCCTCAGAGCCGGAGGAAAGTGTTGCAAGAGAGAAGTACGAGCGAACGAGCACTCGAAGGATCTGTGGATCGCGAGTGAAAATGACGAAGAGCACCGGGTACGCCGCTTTCAACGCGGCTGATCGATCGCGGTCGCTTCGAGAAATCACGCGACGCGTCACCTCGAGTTTGTTCTTCGACTGTTGCACCGTTGTCCCTTGCTACCCGAGGAGCGAACGTCGCACGCCGGAGGAATCGTCGAACGAGAGAATCTTGACGAATGACGAGCAACTGGAGATGAAACGAATGTCGTCGAACGACTCGTTGACGAGGAACGAGATCCCGGCGAACGTCGATGCCGATTGTTCGTTGATGCCCGATTGCAGTTGCGTGGGATCGAGAGATCCGGGGAAAAGCGCGTCGACGATCAGCGCAGCGAGTTCCGAGGACAGAATTTGCGCGTCGAGTGCCTCACTGTTCGGTATTAAACGCGTGGTGAACAGCTTGCCGATGCTATCCAGAACGAGCAGGAGGAACGATTGCAGCGAGAGCGACGGTGAATATTCTCTGTCGGACGTATTCCCGAGGCACGTGATCAAAAAATCGGACGAACAGAAGAGCTCGCCTTTGCATTCCGAGTTGTTCCCGAAGTGTCGAGTGCGGAGAACCAGCCAGCAGAGGAGCTGCGATAACAGTTCCCAGGATGGAATAAGTCAGTTTCGTCCTATTTCTTCTTTTTTATTTTATGATTAAATCTACCTTCTGGTCATTAGCTAGGTACTGTTTCCTTCTTTTCAAGACGATTATATCTTATGGTAGATGTCAGTTTCTTTTAGATAGTTCAGGACATTTCCTATGTGTTTCTGCGACGTCAGGGCTGCCGGTGAAGTTATTTTGTATTTTCGAGCGTGGTGTTTGCTGCATTCAAATAGAAGATGATTGGTTGATAAAATTCGGTTGCATTAGATACACATTGGCGGTTCTGTTTTTTTTTTTAAATAGATACTCATGTGCGAGTTTGCAGTGTCCTGTTCTATGCCTTGTCATGACTATTCTGTCTTTTCTTTTCATGTTGTGAGTAGGTATTGTTTGATAGAAATCTTGGATTATATCATGAGTTTTTGTTTTCTTGGAGGTGTTCCATATTTTGTTCCATGATTGTTTTTCAGCATGGTTACAACAAGGTAATCCTGGATAAGGAATTCGTCTTTGGATGACATCCGAGTTTCGTCCTATTGTAAACCAATGTTCTTGGTTCTTTTTTTTTTAATGTAATAAATTCGATTATGTCGATCTTGTCAAATCAAACAATCTGAATCTCAAGAAGGGATTATTTTATGGATTTAAGTATCGTACGTACATTTGTAATGAATACAAATATATATTTATTTATGATATTTGTATATGAGTACAGAGTATAGGTAAATGATTAAATCGTCATTGTAATTGAAGCCAATTGAAAGTTACTTGTTTTCATGCTCAGGAATACAGTGTCATTCCAATACTGGGAGTAATCTAATTTATTTGCTCTCTGCCAACTATATGGAAGCTCGAAACATTGTTCAAATATATCGTGTGAAAGAGAAAATAAAAAAGAAAAAAGAAATTTCGCTGCAAAGGTGAAAACCGTTTGATTTATCGGTCAGTTATATTATTCATCCGTCTAATTGTATCATTTATGTTACAGATGACGGAAGTAGCTTGTCAGAAGCTTGCAGTACTCCGATCATTGGCGCAGGATCACGAACAGGCTCTAGTCACACAGTGATCGACGTAGATGACATGGATTCCGGGCTACATTCTGGACATCTTGCCACGCGTGCATCTTTGTCGAGTCTTGGAGTAAGTATCAGAAACGATACGTTCGGTAAATCTGTGACAACCTGCTGCGGTAACGTCGAAAACTGAACTGGACTCGAAATATTTCAAGAGCAGAATTCGTCGTTTAAATTGTTTTTAATGTATTCGAATTGTTCCTTAAAAGATTTCCAAAATGTTTAAAATGCAAATTTCTTCAGATTTCACAGAGTCGATTATGATCGATTTATTGTGATCGATCAGAAAATTTTTCTGAGAAAAGATAAAAGATTTTGGTTAGCTTGCAGTTTATTGTTACAGGATTTCTTTCTGAATTCGTTCGTTCGTTACAAATTACAATTGTACAATTGCGGTACAAATATGAATTGTTAATCGTGAATTGTTTTTCAGGCACGTTCAGATTCAATGGCGTCGGTTTATAGCGGTGCCGGCGAAGGACGGTGCTGTCGCTCGGTCGTCGTCACTGGAGAAGTCGAATTCGCGTTGCAATACGACTACAAGCACCTGGCGTTCGAGGTTCACGTAACCAAGTGCAAAAATTTAGCGCCGGTTGACGTAAAACGCAAACGATCCGATCCGTAAGTAACGCATGACTCACCGTGCCGAGAATGATTTATCAGAATCACGCTACCGATCACGCGTGTCTTCTAACGTACTAATTGTTTTCTTGCTTACCTGAATAGTTATTGCCAATTTGTAGGAGCTAGCGACACGTTAGTACATTTCTTTCCTTCTACAAACGTAGAATAGTACACCGTGACCGATGATTGCAATATTTTTTTCTCAATTTCATTCCTCTTGATAACAAAGTATCGTTGTAAAGAAATATTTTAGCGAAAGCAGTACGTGGAGTCAATATTTCTAATATTTAAAATACTTGTACCATTTTTTCAAAATTCAGAGGGAACAGTGATACTTAATTAAATTGTTAAAACGAGGGGCAAAGGGGGGATAACGAAGGCAATTATACAAATTTCTCGTGTAATTATTTGTTTTTGTTTTCATTCTAAACTGATGCGAATTCAACGTCCCAACAGATACGTGAAAGTGTACTTACTGCCGGACAAGTCGAAGAGCGGCAAACGAAAAACGAAGGTGAAGAAACACACGCTGAACCCCGAGTTCAACGAGACGTTGAAGGTAAGCATTTTCATTCGCGATCAGTATTGAGCATCGAAACAGCATTCGTCCCTTTCCCTTTGCTCCTGCATGAGAGTTAGAGCTTGGATGGTTCGCCACACCACGACATTTCAGTTCCACATGAGTCTGAGCGGCCTAGAGACCAGAACACTGTGGCTCACGGTTTGGCATTCAGACATGTTTGGACGCAACGATTTCCTCGGCGAGGTTCGAATGCCATTGGAGAACAAAATCTTCGACGATCCGACACCGAAGTGGTACCCGCTTCAGGAACGAGTAAGTCTACGATTACTTGTCTAGCATAAACGCATAAACAGGAGAGATGTTTCGTTATTGATGCAAGGAGGTACAAAGCGAGTAGCGAGAAATCAGTTTGTCAATGAATTATGCTTAGACTGGAAAGAAAAGTTCAGAGTGGAACGAACAAAATAGCAAATTTGCTGAATGCTACATCTCAGGATGAGAGGTACTAATTTCTTGCACAGATGTGTCATCGTTTTATTTGAATTGCCGAGCATTGTGGATTTAAAAAATTATTGACTTGGATACATGTTTCTTCTAGACGAGTGCAAAATTTATCGATAGTAAATATTTTAAACTTCTCTCAAAATAATTAAACTGTTTGTTGATAACTTTCGCGAGCAAACATATTATGAAAACTTGACTCATTTATATCTGTATACCTAATTTTGGCTTTTAAAAAAAATGTAAAAACATTTTGGATTAATACAAAGTGCTTGCTGTATTATACAAATAGCTTTTAAGTCAAATATTTAAATTGTACATGTAACGTTGAATAATATTAAATAATAAATTTAAATTATTAAATAATATTAAATAATAAATTTTAAATATTCAAAATACTTAAAAGTTTTTTCAAAAAATAATTCACGAGTGAAGTTAATTTCAATTTCATAGTTTTGTTTTAAAGCTGCTCTTGCGGCTTTCGATTCTCCAATGAAACTAAAACTTATCAGCCGGTAAAATTTTACGAATCGCATTCTACCTCTTTCTCACTAATTTTAAACACAATACAGATCGTTCTAGATATAAAAGCGCGGCGAGAACCGACCGAAGAAAGTAAGTCTTCGTACGGACTTAATTATCCTCCGTGCGTAAAACGTCTTTTATTTGTTTTTATTTACGTTAATAAAGCTATACACTTCGCGAGAGAGCAATATTGCACGATTCATTGACCAATGAAGAAGAGCATGAATGAAGAAAGCATTTCTACAGGAAAATACGCGATATACTTGCAAACGAACCTCTCACTGCACTACTTTGCGATGCGACTGCATGTGCAAGAATTAGAATCATTGCTAGAAACTTCCAAATTTTACCATTTCACAGTCATATAATTAGCATTGCCATTGCGTATGATTTTGTTTCTTTTTTTTTTTTTTAAATTTAATTGCTTGTGTAGCGAGTTAATAAAAATGATATTCAAAATATGAGACTACCTGAAGTACTAAAAATCTATTCAAAGCATATCAGTGTTCCTTTCCAAAATTACTTGATGTTTAATTTGAACGATCTTAAACGCCAAGACTGTCTCTTCTAATAGGTTATTGCGTATTCAGTTCTCATCGTGATGGCAAATTTTGCAGACAGAGCCGTTCGACGATCCTGTTGCATACAAGGGCGAGGTGATCGTTGGTCTGAAGTTCGTGCCACCGGATCCTACGCAACAGGAACGAGACCGAGAAGTAGGAGTGGATCGTGGTGCTTCCAAGTCGAAGAAGAACTGGAGTCGCGGCTCGTTGCACGTACTTGTGAAGGAAGCTAGAAATTTGCAAACCAGGGCGAAGAATTCGGGAACGTGCGATCCGTTCTGCAAAAGGTACATCTCTACAGTAAATCGTGTAACGGAAGAGACCTATGTACTGATTGTCAAACACTTTCAGTTATTTACTACCTGACAAAGGGCGTTCTGGGAAGCAAAAGACTGGAGTGGTTCGCAGATCTGGCGGTTCACCGGTGTGGGGCCATACTTTCATTTATAAGGACGTGAGTCTGCAAGAATTAGCGGAACGTGGGCTGGAATTGACAGTCTGGGACCACGATCGTATCGCTAGTAACGAATTCTTGGGCGGCGTTCGATTTAATCTTGGCACAGGTACATAAATCAAAGTAAAACTTAGTAACATATCATTCTAATGATAATCTTGTAAGAATGTCTTGAAAACGGCTGGTTTCTAGCCAGTACAATGCGATAGTTAGAATGATAATTCGGTGATCACTATCTTTTTTTTTTTTTGAGGAAGGTCACATATTTTATTTAGAAAACTTGAGATAATCTAACACTTTTACGAATGAATTTATTTGTGAAAGTCAACAATGTTTAAAATCTACCTTGTTCTTCGTTCACGATATTGCCATGGGAACTTTTCGGTCAATGTATAAAACAAATTAATTAATCTTTCGAAGGAAAACACTACGGGAAACCAGTGGACTGGATGGACGCAACCGGTCGAGAGCTATCGCTTTGGCAAAGCATGCTCGAAAGGCCCAACTTCTGGGTCGAGGGCGCTGTGACGTTGAGGCCAAACCTGCATAATCACGGGAAGAACAGCGCACCCTAAGCCTTCTCGTCTTAGTGATTTCCTTCGTGCTTAAGCTAAAGACACCGTTCGATCGCGAACATTGCACGTCTCCGTATCAACGAAGCTCGAAACGCTTCGGCCTAGTTTAACTTAAACACACGCATACGTATCATGTACATACATACATACGTGACAGTATACAACAGCGGACCACACGTTGATTAATTTCGGAATTACGATTTTCGAAAGAAGAAGAAGAAAGAAAGGCGAGAAAATAATCAGTGCCTTCGAGACCGATACGAAGGCGTTGTATCCTCTTTACAGGGCACAGTCTACAGGGTGTTCGCAGATTTACAGCGTTTTCCTCGTAAACGAGTATGTACGGAAGAGAAAAGAGTTTTTTTTTTTTTTAATTCTTTTACATTTGTGTTATCTTTTTAGAAATGAAGATGACACCTTCTTCTTAGACTTTTAATTTTTTAAAATAAAATGCTAACATATTTTTTTATGTTATATAAAAGTTATATAACTCAAGATAAACTCAATAAAATTTCACACGAGATAAGAAAGAAGAGAAGAAGTACGAATATTTTATGAATACATTTCTTGTGTATCAATAAAATAGCACGAAACATTTAAAAATTTTCTTTCATTTTTAACTTTGATCTTGTGTAACACTGAAGATCATTATGTGGTACGTCGTTGGTCATCGTTTTTGTATCATGTAAAAAAAAAGTACGTAGCATTTTATTTAAAAAATGAAAGTTCATCTCCATTTTAAAAAAATGGTGCAAATACAAAAAATTTTCATACACCACCATATTGCTTAGAAAGACCTGTTTTCCCCCTCTTTCATTTTTTCTCATATTTATCGTTTATGAGAAAAATGCTGGCTAGTAAATCTGTGAACACCTTGTTATTACAATTTAGGCTCTAAAGGAACCGACAGTGGTCGTTACGAAATATTGGCCTTTGAAATGCCCTAAGTAATCTAATCCTGATTCTAAAATTAATATCTACTTACCATTACGTCCAGTTTAATTTGTAAATGAGCGTAACTGCACGTTAGTTGGAATTTTAGTTTGCAGTTTTCGTTTGCTTTCGAGTACATTATTTCGTAGGTATTGTTTGGAATCACGTTCTTTCTCTCTATTTTTGAATTGTTGTATGAAAAATCGATATACGATATACGATATTCTTCGAGTAATTTTTCTTTGTTTTTCTATCATTGTATCCTTGCATGTCTTCTTCGTTATCTTTGTTACCTTTTCTTCGTTCATTTTTTAATCGTCCATTTCGTGTTTGCGTACATAGTATATATTCTTACAAAGCAAGTAAGATTATAGACGCGCAAAATTCGTGCAATACCGTGGAAACGACGTGTCCCGTTCTCTACACGTTGGATAAGAATTTGACGTTAGACGATAGCGGAGCAAAACTTTTTTAAACGCGGACATCCGTCCAATAGCGAGACGTGATGACTGTCGAGTATTCGTCGTGCACGAACGTTCTTCGTGGCCAAGTATATTATTATTCGCGATAGTAGGATACAGAACTTGGGGTTAACACGGCCTCGTTCCAAACGTGCACATTTTTGGGAAACGATTCGTCGATCGCAACAATACAATTTAATAGTCCTATCTTTCAGCGAACGAAAAGAAGAAACACAAATGATAAATGATATATATATATACATATATATTTTATGAAGTATATTTTACTTGACAATTAATTCAAGGATAAAAAGTTCCATCGTTTGGAACGTGGCTTGCATTGTAAACACTTCCCTTTCTTAAAGAGAAAGATGCTTCCAGTGTGTACAATACTCGAAACGATTTCTTGCGCTGAATACAGCCAGACCGGATGGAACGGTGTATTTAAGGAATTAAATATGACCGGTTCCTATTCTATAGAAATATATTCATATAAATGTTATATTTATACATATACGTAGGGATACACAATATATGATAGGCCATGGGGCTTTGAACCGGTTATTCGTCAACGGATGGAAGTCTTGGATTGAGTAAAACGAAAAGAAAACCAGTGTTTCGTAAGAAAGAAGCGTACGCGAGTAGAGGATGCGCTTGCGATAATACATAAATGTATGTAAGAAACACTGATCCGTGAACACTTCATTCTAGGAATATAGCAGTACTCGAGTAAGTATTAACTACATCCGGAACGAATCGAAAGGCTGACGTAATCGTATTTAATTAATTATTACAACGCCGAGTTTCCGGTTTATTTCATATAGGCAAGTATAGAGCGTAACATGGATCGTGTACTTATCCGTAAGGTTCTTCCTAAATACAGGGTTAACAATCGAGAGTATTTTAAATTACTGCCTTCGACGTAAGTTCTTCTCTTAAAAACGCGTGTCAGCGGACCGATCGATTAGGAAAAATTTGTCAATGCGAAACGAGAGTTTCAGAGATTCGATGAGCTGTGTTTGTTCGCGGAGAAAGCCGAGTTTGTTGCGTGTAGAAAGTATTGTTGCGAGACTATGTTGTGTACGTTTAAGGACCAATAACATTAAATTATGATAATAAAGTTGATGAGCAGGAAGAAAAGAACCGAGGTGTTGGAATTCATGACACGCGCGCGCGTTTTCTGTTTCCGTTCTCAGACTGTCGCGTAACACTCGAATTGGATCGTTCGATTCGAACGAAAATAGAGATATTACTTGGACATTTATTTATATGCCACTCATCAGTGTACGTGATAATAAAATTTTGTACGTTTACTCATAATGAATTCTATATTTTATTCAATATATGTAGATAGATAAAAAAAGAATTAACAACTATGAGATATAAATTCGAACAAACGCGACGTCAGGCACGTAGATGAGATTTTTCGTAATAAAACAAAGAGGGAAAAAAAGTGTCGAGAAAGTAAAAAAAGATTTGTGCATTGTTTCACTCAGTACCTGTTCTACGAGCCTGGATTACTGGTTTTTATCATTTGTTGGGAGAATATCGATCGTGGCCTACATTGCGAAGATACTCGACTTAATCTATGTTCAAAGATCGTTATTCGAAATAAATCGATTCCCTTCCGAATTCTTTCCTGAATATCGATGTTTGCATTTGCCAAATGCTCCTAGAACAGAAAAATATTGTCGTTGAAGCAATTTTGCACAAATTAATTTCATATATACAATTAAGACAAGGTAAATTTAATTCTACTGGAATATTTGGTTCATTGATGATAAAAGTGTTTTTATAGATTGAAATTAAATAATGACGCTGTATTTAATATTTCGTGAAGAGTGTTAAATATCTATTTTATTTAAAACTTAATTTCCTAATCAGGATTTCTGATTGATTTACTAACAATATAATACTATAGCGACTCAAACAATTATCTTTGATATTAACATTAAATTGATTCTACATTGTCAGATATTATACAATAAATATTCAATATTATACAGTACATACATACTCAAAACGTTAACAATACGATATCATTATTCAACTTTATTGGAGTAATTCTTCTACAGAAGAAAACAGAGTCGCAAGAGTAATAAAATGCTGATAATAAAGTATGAAAATCGTACCTTTGTGATCAAGAGGATCACGAATTGACGTTGGTAAAGGTGTATAATTAATGTTAAAGAAATAATCATCGAATTTATCCATCGGGTTTTGAACGAATTTTGACAATTCTGGGACAAATTTCACAGTCCTTGAGTATTTTCCTCGTCTTTCAGCGTCATTCCGTTCTTGTCGCGTAATAAATCGCGAATCAAGAAAACGAAGAGTCGGGGGTAGTACGTATATCGCGTATAATCTGTAACGATTATAATCTTCGTCGTCGGTTGACGTTGGATTGGTCAACTGATCGGGACATCCTGGATTGCCGAGCAGGCTTATGTACACCACGTTCGGACAACACTCCTGTATCCTTTTCAACGCGATATCTATATCTGTTATCTAAACAATTATTTATTTTTTATTATAAACTTATCATCGATATATTTCATAATCGCAGAACAAAATATATTTCATATCCAGACTTCTAAATGTAAATTATAATTATATATTTCATGATGTAACATCATTTAAAATAATACAATCGTGTAATAACATAGAAAAACTTTCCAATTAATCGATTCAATTATTATTTATAATTACATCGTTTAAGCAAACAAAAAGTTTAATACCGTTACTGATGAAAATATGCAAATTCGCGCCCTGATTATACATCACCGTCTCTTATTTACGACGATAAACGAAAGATGAACGATATAAATGTCATCGAACCGATTCGCATTCTCGATGATATAAGATACCAAAAGTGTATCATCGATGCACGTTTGGAATTTTAATCGAGATGAATAACTCATAAGCTGTTCCTTCACAAGTTTCCCAATCGCGGCGAGTACAGTTAACTCAACGACGAAGGCAAACATTTTATTTCACCTCCTTCGAATAATCATTGCAATACTTGTGCCAAAATCAAGCAATATGCGCAACATTAGCTCATTTTTAATCTTCGTTATTTTCTTAGCGTTAACAAGAACAAATATATCGTGCGTGTTTTTGGACTGTTCATTTATCAAAATCATTCGCGAGTGATACGATATCACAGAAGATTCGAAAAGATTAATGTTGGATTGACTAATAATGCTTCTATTCAGTATATCTGTACTTTCATAATGATCAAATCTATCAAAATAAATTAACAAAGTTTGGTAAACCTTTCTTCATTTTTAATTTCAATTTAGAATTTTTGCTTTTTTTATAAAAAGAAAAAAAAAAGTTAATAAAAGAGACCACGCAGATTGTCACTATAAATAGAAACTTTATAACATTTAAATACAGCGGAAGATAAATCTATCGGCATAAGATAACGATAACACTTAACAGCATTATACTAAAATGTATTTAAGCGTATATTTCGAAATGAAATTTTAGTGAAATAAAGAACCGAGAAAATAATTGTTCTTCCAATTCCACGGGATTGAAAGAACATTAACTAATGATTTAATCGTTCAATAATTATGTATGTAGACACTTGTGTGCTAATTAATGTACTCTGCAAAGAAGGTGATATAACACAGTAACAAGTGGCATACATATACTAAATAATTGACTGATTTAATACAAAGTAAAATATCGTAATTGAAAAATTATTAAAAGTCATTTAATTTATAAATTTGTTAACAATATACAACGTCAAATAATGCATGATCACCCCGTTAGTGATAATTTTAATACATTGAAATAGTGGTATAGCAAAAAACAAACCTTGTTATTGTTCAAACTGAGTGTGGTCAAAGTTGGCATATACGGTAATGTTCTGAGGTCCCGCAGTTTATTGTTGTCGAGTATCAACTCCTGGAGACTTTGGAAGTATTTAACAGCGCTGATAGAGGTTAGTTCGTTATAAGACAGATCTAAACCCATGCAATCATTACCAACGACACCCACTAACCCCTCGGGTATCTTTTCTGCTCGTTGTCCCGTGTACCAAGCCTGAATTATTAAAACCACGTGCAACAGTTTGCACAAAGAACAATCCAAAGTCCATTAAAATTGTATGTTGATAATAATATATATTATTTACCCGTCGACCTCGCACTGTCAATGCACTCCTGTTAAAGTCTCGCTGGCTCCGTTCCGCCATCTTGCACGCAAAGTACTATACCATGTACGATGAGAAATGATCATTAAACAATAAGAATGATAATACTTTAAATTGACAGTGTTGCCGCCATTACGGAAGATATTTCTACTAAAGAAAATACTTCACAATACGGCTCGTTGGTCTAGGGGTATGATTCTCGCTTAGGGTGCGAGAGGTCCCGGGTTCAAATCCCGGACGAGCCCGGTGAAATTTTTTAAAGTATTATTTAAAATTTCATTTTTTTTATTTGTAACGCTGCTAAATATTTTAATATAACCGTTTTTAACATAATGAATAAATAATAAACAATAAACGATGGAATGTAGGAAATAGATAACAAGTAGTAGTTCATATCTATGTGTTTCTTTTTCATATAAATATTATATAAAAAAAATAATCATTTTTTTTATATGATACAATTTATGTTCCACGTACAATTTCTCACTAAAATAATAAATTTACAAATATATGTACGTTTGGAGCAATATCCAGAGAAAAAGCTCAAACATAAAATTCAAAATAAAAAGTAAAAGAAGATAAAACATATTTTATTATTTTGAACTGTTCTCGCAATTTCATATAAAAAAGCTGATGATATATTAATATCGTCAATTAATATTTTTTAAAAATAAATACCATTAAAATAATATCTAAGCATATTCTAGTATTTTTAATATTAGTAAAATAGTATTAATCAAAATATTAATTCAATAATTGCGCTTTATATTATATATATATATATATATATATATAAGTATATCAAATATGTATATCTACAATTTCACTATAATTAGTAGCTAAAGTAAAGTTTTGCTTTAATTACTATTTAGATTAATAAACGTAGGAAGAAAAAGTATTTCAATAATTTTTATCGAATACCTTTTTCTCTGGATATTATACATATTTCAATTATTCTCTTTTTATAAGTTTTAGATATTATATTTTATAATATAGGTTCATTCAAACCTTTTTTTAACTTTTTGGGCGGTCTGTATGATATATTTGCAGTTCCAATTTTATTAGTGGTTACTTTCTTGCTAGTTGTATCTTTGTTTTGCTTTTTATTTTCTGAATATACAGATTCTGTGATTCTTTGCACAGTAGTATCAGAATTACATATATTTTTACTATCATTCTGAACAAATCTATTTTGCACCATTTCCTGCGTGTCATCGTTATTGCTGCTGTAGTATATTATAAATTATATAAATTTTTATTACATTTTCTATAATTAATGTTAAATAATGTTTTATTAATACCTTGTAGATTCTGTAGAAGTTTTATTATATTCATATAAAGTAAATTCATTATAAAAATTCATCGCACTTTGGAATATATTTGTACAATCAATAATATTTGGATCAAGAATTGTTATTTTAAGTTGCTCCTCTTTAAAACATTTTGTTTCAATATGCTCTGTATCAAACAATGAAGCATGAAATCTTATATCATTAAAATAGTATTTTTAATATATGATAAAAGAAACACACTTCTTATTAACTCTGCTCCTTCTACTTTGTATTCAGAAATTTCTTCATCCTTCCTTTTCACTAAATCTAAAAGAAATTTATGCTGACGACTAATTTCCATTGACGATATACATAGAGGCTTAGTTATAATTTCCCAAAAATCTTGAGATGTTCCTTTGGTTAAATTTACATCAAATTTCATCGTACCACCATCTATTTCAGCTCGTAACTTTATATGTTCCACAGATGCATTGATAATGTTTCTTGGCATATTGTTCAAAATGTTTAATATAACATTGTAATAGTTAAGATCCTCAATATTTAAAAGTGGATTCAATTTCTGAAAAGAACAATCAAATTGAATTTAGTTCATTATAGCTGGAAGTTTTGTAATAAATGTTACATCAAAATTACTTAGAACCTATAAAATACTATAAAATACTCATTGTAGTTAATTACCCGACATCTGTCTAAAATAATTTCTTTTGTCAGTGTATCCATCCATATTTCAATAAGATTAGTTAAAAAAACTTTAATTGTGTCATCTTCCTGGGTAACAGAAACCATATAAGTATCATTATTTATTTTTATGTTATTCCACGTACGACGTTGTTTACATTCATCAGAAATCATGTTCTTTGCTTTTATTAAATATAGTGATAAAAAGATTTATTTCAGAAGAATTTATGACACAAATTATAAGCTCTTGACAGTGAGAAACATAACCTATATTGGTTATGTTTCAGTTTCTTCTAAATTAATTAATTAATTCTTCTGTGATAAAAGTTTTTGATAATATACATTTTATACACATACAAATACTTTGATATGTTTTATATACATATAAACTTTGATATGTTTTTTTTTTATTTGATTAAATTTAAATACCACTAGACAAATCAAACTATCGATTTGCAAAATATCGATACTCGTATGAACGAAAATCGAAAAAAAAAATACTCCAATTAATAAAAATTTGCAAGTGTAAAAATAAGTGGAAATTAATTAAAATTATTAAATTCAAAGGAAGTGCAATAAATTTGAAATGGTATAAAAATATTTATTACATACGAACAAATATTGAAACATAAAAGATAAAAAGAAATTACGTATCTTCTTTACTTTTCTTAACAATTCGAATATTGACTGTGTGAAACTTTGTGTTGGGTATATTTTTAATTGTATTACAATTGGGAAGTTCTTTTTGTAAAATTTTCTTTTTTGTATCTTCCTGTAATCAGAAAGTAATGATTACAATCACAGTATAAATTTTGTCTTCAAAGCATATACATATATTATTAAACCAACCGTTTGCTGCGCTTCAGTAGAAAAAGTGGATAATGATTTATTTTTAGACTGTTTCGAGTTTGAAATTTCTTTCCAATTAGTAAATATTGCCGGGCAATGTCTTTTGAATTCTAACTGATGCATGCAATCTTTATTATTATTGATTTTTCTTAATTTGTTATTTTTATGTACGTCATTGAATGTTACATATTTGGTGTTTAAGGATTCGTTTGATGTTTTTTTCTTCCTCATCGTTAGATAATTATAAATTGAAGAAATACTGGACGACGTTGAATTTGGAGTACTTGTTTCCGCGTTTTTTTTATTAGTTAAAGTTTGGCTATCTTTTTCATGTTTCGATTTTATGTTACTATTATCTTCACGTTTTGCCACATTTTTATCTAACATTTGATTTTTTGCTATATATGTATATATTGCATGTAGTTTTAATTAAATTAAACAAATTTTTGTTTTTGTTTAAATTTGGTATAAGATAATTGTAATATTTACAATTTTTACTGTGGGATTCCTTTGTAACATATTCACTTTTGCACAGTATATTATCAGAATCCTCAACAACTTGCTGAGCAGTGCATTGAGTCTCAGCATTATTAAAAAGTCTCAATTTCAAACAGAGATTACCTTTGGTGTCCACATACTGAGATGCTATTGCATGTTTTGAAGCTATCTATAGAATATAATAAAACATAAATTTTTGTATTTCATATAAATTGAACTTTCACTTCTAAATAACATTCAGTTTTCACTTATAAAGAAAGTAGTATTTATAAAGAAAGTAGTATAAAGTTAGTTACATGCAAACATTGGTTATATAAAGATTTAATGTATACCAAATTCATCATAGTAATTATAGATTATGTAACAAATTATTCACAAATTAAATACCAAATCTTTAAGAAGCGGGTGCTTTCTTTGATTTTTCTTTGATAAATGGCTCAATATGTCTTTTGTGTATGCTGTTATTTTATTTGTAATGCTAGTCAAATCATTATATTCTTTTTTTAGATGCTTAACAAGAATTCTTGTTTCAGGAAGACTCATTTTAGAGGTATTTTGATTTAGAAGCTTACATGATACACCTATGTCTTTTACCAAAACTGCATCAGCACATTTATCGCTTTTATTACTCCTACAAAAAATAGATATCTAACAATTCAAGTAAAATGTAAAATCTGTGTCATAAAATTTTACATAATGAAATAAAACAGTAAGTGTAACCTGTAGTAAGGGAATTGACAACTATTATGAATTGTAGAATTGCTCATCTTATCAAACATATTATCATCCATTAAAACTGTGTGTCTATGTGTATCTTTGTTTATATTATTGGTAGAATCATAGTTGGATGCAATCATTAAAGCACTTCGATTAGTAACATTTCTTTCTGACACTGCAGGAACCAAACTCTTAGAAGATTTTCCAGGAATAGCAGAATATTTCTTCATTTGTGGTATGATGTTAATTGACGCATCTCCTGCTTCCGGAGGAGCAATAAGGACACCCATCTCAAAGTGATGATTGTTGAATTATCCAATAATTTTTGAATTATTTAGAGGTAATTTTATACTAATACTTTATATTTATAATATAAAAAAATTTAATACAACAATTTAGAATAAAACAACTACATATATAGATAATTAAATGACAATAACTTGATCACAACACATAATAAAAGTAGCTTTATAAATTACCGAAACTCTAAATCTTCTTTGTCCCATTACTGAAAAGCACAGGCATGTATAATGTTTGTATCTCTGTCGATTTTTAGAAACGTCCATTACATTACAAAATCTCAAAGTTACCAATTAATTTTGAGATTTTAACGCCCGAAGGTTACGTTTATATCATTCAAAATGTATAACAAAATAAAATCATATTTTTCACAGAATTGAGGATATAATTGCTATATTCATCCATATCACGACGGGGAAATTATCTTATTTAAATCCGTCGTATATTTTGTTTAATAAAAAGCGAAAGAGGAAGTAGAATATTATTCAAAAGATGTTTCACTGAAGGGATGGAAAAAGTATTTTTAAAAAATATGTAACATTTTGATATCTGACAATAATTCAATATTTTATTTAATCGATTTTGTGATAACAGATAGATATATAATATTGTACGTATTCTTTGATTTATTGATATACAGAACGATATCTTAAATCTTAAAATCTCTTAAATATTACTTATGACAGAAAATATAACATGTTTTAAAAAATATAGCCATTTAAGATATTTATCATATATATTAATAAATTTGTTATTAAAGAAATATATTACTCTAGATTAGATATGTGAAATTTAAAGATAAAACTATGAAATTAATCAAATATGTTATAAATTTTAAGAAAGAAATAAGCAAGTGAAAGTACAACAGTGCCTCCTCAGCTATGATAGATTCGGGGCGTTATTCCTGCAACTATCTAAGTATGAGTACATGACTTCCAGGTTTCCAGGAATTATTGACTGTCTTTGTTTCTATGACTAGTTTGTCTTTGCGAATAAGATGGAGAAAGCTTATTTAGTATACTAACAGCCTTAGCTCGGAGCAGATCTTATAGACAAAATAGTGGAGATACGAAGTCACAACTAAGCGAACAATTTGCTTTTAAAGGAGATTGTGTATGTTCAAATAATAGCAAAATTTTAAAAAATATATAGAAAAGTTAAGTAGATATTTACATTAAAATATTCATTGTTATTTAGAAAAAAAGATATTTTTTAAATAAATCTAGCAATAACCAAATTTATTTTTTCTTATTAAATAAATAGAATTTTTTGCTTCATAATTAACACGGGGTATACAACAATTAGATTCGAATCGAACTCCATTAAGAGATTTTATTGTTTAATACAGGAGCATATTTATTACATATACTTTACAAACTTTTAAATGTAAAAATTCATAAATAATAAATTATTCTTCACTTTTTTACGCACATGTATACAATTTATGTAATAAATTTATTAAACTCAAATTTTTTACATCATAAGTAAAAGATATGTTTTCTTCAAATTAATTCTAATTTCTCAAAGTACTTATTAAACACATATATAGCACGTATATTTCGTAGAATCTGGAGACAAGTTGACCAATGAGATTTTCTCACATTCTACAGGACTGACAGTAAATCAGAAGCGTAGCTTTACACAAAACTTAAAAAAATTTCAAAGAAATCAATATCGCTTCAAATAAATTATCTCCCATCTCAATCTATCAATTATATACTTCCACAACTTAACAAAAAAAAAAAAAAAAAAAAAAATAAAATAAAAAAAAAAAAAAAAAAGCAATGAACTTACAATCCCACTTTAAATTCTAAAAAGTTCACAAAAAGAATAACTTTTCTCTAAACGTAAAAGCAATAAACAGGAATAAAAAGAATCCTCAGACGATAAGCGTTGGATCAATTTCAGGTTTGTCACTTTATCAATTAGATTTGTAGATTATCATTCTGTCGAGTTATATAAACAATCGTCTTTTTCAAATTATTTTAGTTGTCACGTACGAGTAAGAAGCCCTTTCAGTCAGCCCTTCGTTGAATCGCTGCAAAATGAAATGCTGAATGAAAATATTGGTGATCCAGTCTTCGTCTCTGGGCCAAAAATCAGTTGAATTATTCGATTAAGAATCGATCAAGATCGTGGCGTGAAGGTGTATTATACACGATCCTCGGATCTCTACGCCAATGGCACACGTTCTTTCGGTTTGATCGGCATGGCTGCCGCGGCACTCGCGAACAGATCGCGTCGCGCCGCAGGTAGAGTCAGTTTGATTCGTGAGCGGCGTCGTTGCGGAGTCGAGAGGCTCTAGGGACGCGATCAATTTCACCTGAAAGATGCGCGAGATCGGTTCCCCAAATTCGGGTCAATGATCCAGCCAGACGAACTTGTCAGTTCTCTCTCCCGAGTCGCGAATCAGTGAAAAGTGATCGAGAAACCGATTGACAGTAGTGTAATAACGTCTGGCGTTAAGGCGGAGGGAGGAGAGTCGTGATGAGTTTGGAGGCGATGTTGGAGTTGCCTAATACGGCTGAACCGATCGAGGCCGATAGATTCCGAGCGTTTTTCGAAATTCACGTCGGCGACGGTTCGCCAGCCGCCGCGTTCGGTGCATTCCCAATCGGTGTATCGCCGTGGTCGTTCTAAAAACCTGTGCCGGTTAATTATCCGACTCGAGAGAAAGTCGATGGCTGCTTTGCGTGCTCCGACCGGTCAACAGACACCAAGCGCGCCGATTCTGACTTGAATGAAACTTTCAAGCCTGGTGTTTTCCACCCGATGCGATCAGCCGTGCCGTCTAAATTTAGAATTTTTCACGCTCGATATTTTCTAGCTTCGATTCTATCGTAGAATCGCGCGTGTATTACGTGTGATACTGGTGGGAAAAAAGAAGAGGAGAAGGAGGAGGACTATTGCAAATATTCGAGGAATATTGTGCATGCAACATCTGCGATTGTTTTCACATCGTGTTTACCGATCGACGCCAGATATGAAGACGTCGACGGATCACCGCATAAAAGAATAACAGATGCGCGTTTGCACGAATGACAGATGCGTACTCGCATAGATGCGATCGGTCGTACAACCGTTCGATAGATGTCATCGAAGGAACTGACTGTCAAAGTGTTTCGATTTACCGTGGCTCGGTTCGAGCACATCGAACCACGTATCGGCAAGTCGAATGCAATTCCGTTGACATTACACTATATCGTAGACCAATGGTAGCGCGATGTTTGCCAGATTGACCATCGTTGTTGCGGCGCTATGCCTGTGGAACGGAGTCGGTAAGAGATCTTTTCCTTTTCTTTTTTCATTTTACGTGAATGATGTATTTCAACTGATGATTACGCAAATTTATATTGAATTATATTTCTATTGAATTTCGAATTAAGTTGTTAAACACGTAGAACAAATTGAGGATACTTCATGTTAATTCGATTTTACTGACGATGCACTGATCATTCCAAATTTCGAGAAATATTTTGTATACCAGTTCTATATGGTATTTAGTCGTTTTTCAGCCACGGTCTTGTAGTCTGTACTTTCTAATATATCCCGGAGAAAGCGTCGAGAAGACTTCTTCCGATGCATGCTTCAAACAAGCGCGAAATCAGAATGTAGAGGAATAAATTCAACAAACAAACGATTGACGACTTAACTTGGCACTGTTTCATTATTAAAATGCTGTGATAATTTTAGATGAAATTGTGAAAAAAAATCATCTATCACAAAAAATTATTATCTATTATGTACGTTATAAATATGCAGCACATATAAATTGTTGAAAGTAAAGTAATGGAATTGACTAATTAATTAATTAATTTATTTATTTATTTATTTATATTGTCACGTATTTGCAATTTTACCGTGCATTTTATGATATGTAATAAACAGAATAACGTACTCATACGAATTGTTGCCATATGCAATACATTTGCTACAGCAAGTTATAATAGAATTTCTCACCTGTTGTTCCGGTGAATATTGCGACCTGAAACAGCACATTATAATGTATGCCACAGAATATTGGCATATTGTAAAATAATACAAATGTGAGTTGTCATGTTATCTTGAGAACTGCGGCAAATCTATCGTGTCGATGATGTCTCGTAATATTCAATGACAGCCATTATCGAGCTCGTTGAATCGTTTCTATTGAGAAACTTGCAGCTTTCGTAATTTATTTTATTTCTTTTGCAATTAATACTGTTGCGTAAATTGGAGTAATTTCTAAGTTTTCATACAGTTATCGGAATATTGAAAAAAATTTCGCAGCTTTACCTTTCTTAAGAGGTTCCGACATCGCGCTAAAAAAAAAATAAGACACTTTATGTCCTCAAGTGGATTTCAAATGTAACATTCCACTTACATTCGCATTGTACTTAGCCAACGAGGTATTTATCCAAGTAGACACGTTGCACCTACGCGACATTCCTTTCGCGTTGCATTAAGTTGCCGTCTCCGACACACGACAACAGATTCTGCGCCTGTTGCGAGCGATTCCTTTCTCTTCGACATCGACATCGCGAAGAAAGAAAAAGGAAAAAAGACAAACGTTGCGAAGCTTGCAAAAATCGTCATCAAGCGTGTCGGCCGCGTTGAATAAGATAGAAAGGAGATCGGTAACGCGCGCGGCAGATTAATTTGAATGCTCGAGCCTGTCGCGGAATCCAAGTCTATGATTTACCGATTTAAACACGGATTTTCCAGCCGCGACGACGAGTATTAGTTAGCAACGTTGGATTTGCTTGCGAACGAATCTACACCGAATGACTTAGACCGACGAAGAACACAGGTGAAAGTTGCTTAAATCATCTGTCCGTTTGTGTTCTAGTGACTTCTTCTTTTCTCTCTTCCGCCATTTTCTTCTTTCTTCCATTTGACCTTACTTAGTTTTCGAGAAAAGTCGGAAGACGTAGGCTTTCAAACGAAGGTCAACTCAGCGAGTTAAATGTAATTTGACGTACAGTTGTTGTAGCTGGTTTTGTTCGACGTGATTGTTTCGTACAATTAATGTTCGATAATAATCTTCGTCGACAATCTCGTATCACGGTTCTTGCTTGATCGCTATCTCGAAACAAAGACTTCGTGATTAACGCGAAGCTGTGGCTGTTCAGTAGGTGAATTGTGGTTTAATGGTATGTTATGGCGCGTTTCGATCGAAAACGCAGCAAAGGTGAAGAAGTAATGAATTTAGGTAACGATTACAGGGAATAAACGGGACGAGAAACGTAAATTGAGAAAACGAGGAAATGTGAAATGGAGGAAGGTTTATTCGCGACGTGGTATAAAAATTCATCGAAAGAACGTTTGCAATAATGTTGATTACTGTAAAAAGTAACGGTAATCGGTTCGACTATACAATAGAGCAACGGCGTCCATACAATGAAAGAAGAAACGTGTCAAAGTTGTATAAATTAAGAAATTGCGCTCTGTTTCGTAACTTAAAAAAAAAAAAAAAGAATGAAATATTAAAGTTGTACCGAAATGGTGCAATTCACGCGAAACCATTTTTGGTACAACGAACGATAATTTCAAGTTTGTCACGCAATTGTGAGCATCTTTTTGACACTTCTAAAAAATGATATCGATGAATAACATCGATTAAATCATGTTGTTACTCGTCGCGGATAATAAAATTACGAACGATCTGTACGAAAGGATCTGTAATGATTCTAGATTTTATGATCTAATAAGACATTACATTTTAAAATTAATTACGACAGTATACAGAATTGATACGAATGTATCTATGAAATTCTTTATCTATGGGTTATTTAATAAGAAAGGTACTTCTAAATTAATAGGAAAATTATTAGGAACGTCAACTTAATTGCAGAAAAATGTGTGTGTGTGTATAATTGCTATGTTTTAAGTGGATTATTTTAATTATGTTTTATTAACTGCATAAAACGGTAGCTGACATTGTTTTCCCTTATTTAGCATCGATTTGTACATTTTGATAACATTTATGTACTAATATAATAAATTTATAGTTTGCCAATTTGATAAGAAGATAATAAATATTACTTCTATTTATTACTTTGCCATTCAAATAAAAATTCACATGCAATCATCACGAAATTGAAACAATCAGATATTCATAAACGTACCTACAGTTTTCGCTGAAAATTGAAAAGAAAAGAGAAACGATTCTCTCCTTCCTTAAAAAGAAAGAGAAACTCGTGTCTTAAAATTTGCCAGCTGAAACTTTGTTTGTTGCAAAAAATTTATTGGTTGAAATTTTTCGAGAAGAAAAAGAAAAAAGAAAAATTCTCATCGTCCAACGCGAAGCCCAGTACGTGTTCAAACAGAGTTAAATAGAAAGCCGGGACTTGTGAAAGAGACCTGCACCTAGAATTTTTTTAACCCACTCTTCCGTGGGACCGAGGCAGAAGGTACAGAGTACTTAGTTACTTATGTCCGTGAAAGAAAGAACAGCCAGTTAGTCGATAACCGATAACAGTTGCGACACGATTGCGAAGATGCACGACTCGTGGAGTCGAGGAATGCTAAGAGATGGCCGGATAAACCGCGCTGCGATCCAAAGAAATTTACACGTTCCGATTTCGTTAATAGATAGACGAATATATGTGTTCACAGAGGGTAAAGTTAAAAGTCAAACTTTGTCATTTAACGTGTTCTTTGAGTGCAATCAAAAAATTTCACGTAAATTGAAATATATACATACACATCTGTTTAAGTTACAAAAGTTCCTTTTGTACTTTTTGCTTTTGAACCAATTGGCATTTGTAGAAATTTCGTTTATCAATATATTGTACGTTATATTGTAATATTTTGGAATTGCACAGGGTATTGGAACGTTGTGATTATACCAGTAAAATTTGAAATATGAAAATAGAAACAGGGCATTTAGTGCAAGTATGCGTTTGATAAGAATCATGAAAATATTTGTACAGTTAATTATCCATTATGTGTTGATGACATTTTTAACGTTTATTTTATTACATGTTTAAGTGTAATTGTACATACTGTGTATTTTTTAAGTTTTTACATCCACGTAAACATTCTTATTCCAAATTTACTACTTAATATAATCAAACCTGAAAATTCAATGCAACACACGTATATACATTGATTGATGTATTGAAAATCGTCAAAGTATTTCAATAATCAACTATGAACGAATCTCAATATTCATTCTAAACATTTCTTATATATTTAAGAAGATTGTACATTAAATTCTCTTGCTTCTATATACATTTTCAAATTTTACCAATGTAATACTAATACAATCGCGACATTCTATCTATCTTCTCATAGTATCAATGGAATTTCGAAACGTTTCCTGTAACATGTACACAAAAGAATTGTAACACAGTAAAACACGGAATATGGGCATAAACGTATTTCTGTATGACTGTTCGTGATTATGTGATAAACGTGTACTATGAAACGTATAACTGTTCAAATACTTTCGCGAGTGTGCCTCTGTAAAATGAATATTGCCATTCTATGGTGTATCCGCGTCCGTGTTTTCCGTCAAAAGAAAACGCGCGTTGCTCGTTCGATAAATAAGTTAGGGAAGTTCTCTCCTCGCTTTCTTTCTCGTTTATTTCGCACGCTTGCTCACCTACCCTCTTTCATTGTTCCCTTCAATTGCACGTGCTTTTTGTTTCGGTCGTCCCCTTCGCTTCGGGCAGTTTTCTTTCTCTTTTCCAGCAAGTTCTTTGCTGTTTTCGTTTATTCTACTCCTTTACGCTCCGCGTTACGCGTTGGAGAAAATTGAAATTCACGTTCTTTTTTCTTTTTTTTTTGCGTATCGTTCAGTGGAGTTTCGCGTTGGACTCTAGGAAAATGAGAGTGAACGAAAGAAAAATTTCTTTCTTCCTTTTTGTTTAAATTAGTTATTAATGGTAGAAATGTATTGCCCTTGGGAATTTGAGATCAATTTTGTTAGAAATGAACGTATTTATTGAACAGTTAATAATTTACTAAATTAAATATTCTTATTCTGTTTGTTACGTATAAATAATTTTGTAGTTGTATTTATCTATTAAATATTATATTATCTATTAATATTATTTTATTTATTAAATATTATTTTATCTATTAAATATTATCACTTAAATTTTAAATTTACTCTCTATTAATATTATTTTATTTATTAAATATTATGTTATTTATTTATTAATATTATTTTATTTATTAAATATTATGTTATCTATTAATATTATTTTATCTATTAAATATTATCACTTAAATTTTAAATTTACTATCTATTAATATTATTTTATTTATTAAATATTATGTTATTTATTTA